TTAATTTATTAAAAATATCTTCAGAAAAATGATGAAAGAAAGACACACAACTCGATGCTCCCGTGCAAATGAAAGTCAGAATACAACAATTTTTGAACAAACTCACAAACACTGAATATGGCTACGTATTTTTTGAGTATGATATTTGGAATTTGAACCGTCAATGCCTTTGAAAATGCCTCAAAGCAGTCAATACATATTGAACGACATATGGTGGTGAACTAAACTACTTTTTTAGGTGTGGTGAATTGTCGTTATTTACAGTGAGTTATTTCTGAAATTATCGGTTGCAAACTGAAAGCTCTTAAGCATCGTTCACAATCATTGCGTTCAAATTTTTATTCATAACGAAGTAAAGGCGTTTTCTCATTTTGTGTTGTCTAACCGTTTTTAAAACAGAGATGAGGCAAGAGAAAATTAGATTAAAGATTTATTCGTTAAGTATACAATAAATGTTGAATAATGTTTTCTATAAAAAAAATTAACATTAATAATAGCAATAGTTCAAGCAATTCATTTAATAATTATATTTTTGAGTTGTATATTCAAAGTTCCGGTCATGCCGTATTATTTTGAGCGTTTTAAATGTATAAAAGTTGTTTCATAGCTATTCTTGATTGTTGACGCAGACCACCCATTGATCAGAAGTGGAACCAAATCATTTCGGTCAGCGAAGCCCCACTGATTTGGTCCAGTGGAGAATTAGTTTGTCAATTGATATCAAATATTGATGGCAATGCATTAGAGATTTTTGGAATATTCACATCCCTCCGTATACCATATTCATTAAATGAAAAATCCAGTTTTAATTCTCTTATTTTTGGACGTTTTTCAATGAATGCATATTCAAATTCGCTGAATTGTTTTTCGTTTGCAAGATGTAATGATTCAAGTTTATCACTAGCGAACGGAATCGGAAATGATAGTGCTAACTTCACATAACAAGTAAGGCTTTTTAGATTCTTAAAATGGATAAAATCACCAAATCCAGAATTGAATTGGTAGCATACATAGAGTGATAGACTCTCAAGATTATGAAGACTCTTGTTCACGCTTTGAAGGTCATTTGAGTAACAATTCTGATCCATTCCTTCGATTCATTTTCCATTCGGTTCCATTACTCATTGATTAATTTCCATTTTTCTCATTCTTTTCTTCTGATCAACTCTAGGTAGATAGACTTGGTTGGATTTAATCGTTTGTTGGAAGCAGCTGCACTCAACAGATCATCGAATAATAAATGCTACAAACAGCTCTCAATGCAATCCAGATTCATATCCGTGAGTTTCATCTTTTCCCTTGTTGTCACAGTTTCAATCGCCTACAAAGTTCTCCTGTGCCTACAAACTATAACTAAAATAGTCGTAAGAAAGTAACAAAAAAAAACGTTCCACTTATTCAAACGATTCTTTTCGGTTGAAATTCGACTTTCTACGTGTACGAAGAAAAGATGCGACAACTCCATCTATATTTTCAACAAATCACTACAATTCATTTAACTGATATTGTCACATTTGAATTCGGTTCGTTCTTAAAACTTAAATAGAAGAAGAGAATTATTTTTTTGCAAATTAATGTGAAAATTGATAGAAATAGGAACTGTGTGAGACTTCTTTTTTAATTTAACATTTATTGAGAGAGAATCAAAAAGAATAACGAATCTATAGTTTTCCAAATAACGAAATTCCACCAAAATGTATTGTATCAGGAAAGGATCCTTGCGATTACCAAGATCTTCGATTTTTCGTACAAATTCTCTCACTACATTCAATGCCTTTTTTTCAAAAGAATACTAATTTTTAATTAATTCTTTGTGTTTTTAATGACTCGATTGTTTTTTTCCCTTTGCCGGTGCGTGAATATCAACAATGTTTCATTGACAGTGATGACATTTCTAAAAAATGGCGTTACGATTAGGTGAGAAAAAATTCACCACACTTCATTTGATGTCAAAGCCTTCGTAAAGCTTCTCTTTTTTTGTGTATTGATGTAATGCTCATGAAAGAACAGAATATTATTTCATGTAGAACGTCGTCGAACAAACCAAGTACGTCTAAATTAAAGAATAAAAGTGCAAAAAAAAAAACTATATCTAAACCTAAGTTAACTAGCGTGTGCGTAAATGTTACAAAATAAATGTGTACATTTGAGACGAAGATAAAATTGATTACAAAGTTGATAAAAAACGCGATTGAATACGATATGAAAAAGAAATCGATGTAGATGTGCCGACGGAAAAAATCCTTATTATTCACCTAAATTGTATTCGACATTCGAAAGGATGTAGATTTGGTTCACATCTTTTTTCCATCATTATTTTCAATGGTGAGACAATTTTCAATTTTTTTTTCTTTCGATTTTTTTCCACATCGTTCATCTGTTGAAACTTCCATCGTTTGAGTCATAATTATTATTTTAGTGTTCCATGTGTGTGCAATGTTGATTGAAAAATTACGTTTTTTTCGGTATTAAGAAGAGAAAAAAAAATAGCGACGATGGGTTTGCAATGAGTCTCGTCTGTTTGGTGCTAGAATCGCGTTGGTTTGTGTGCGCGATGTTTGATTGTTCACATATATGTATATACATATCGAACGTATGTGTACAGGCTGGTTACCGCTGCTGCTGCTGTTTTTGTTGTTGTGGTGTATTTCGCTCTTCATATGCGTTCATTTTTTTTTCGTTCATTGTCGTTTCGACGGGGTTCGGTGTGTTCAACTCTCTGGCGTATGTGTTGTACAAAGTGTGTGCTGGTCGATTTTGATATGTATATATCGTATTTTTCCAACGAAGAAAAGGAATGTTTATAATTTGTGCACACACTATTCATTCTCGTGTAATTTGCCGTGTGCGTATATTCTCCTGTGTATCGATAGCATCTTTTCATATTTTTTTTTAAATAAAAAATGATACTCACACACACACACATACGCGTAAAAGATGTGAAAGACAAGAGAAGAGAAAAAAAATGTACTCAACAGAAATTCTCTGTCTGATCATAGGCTTTCGGTTTCACTGTGTTAATTCCTTTCCATTTGTTTGCTTTCGTCTTTTGTTCTTTGTGAGAAGGAACAGACATTCATTCGAAACATGTAGTCATAATCGATTTTGTGCACTTCAACACACAGAATTGGAAAGAAAACAACAAAAAAGAGGAGAAACTTGAATATATTCAATTATGTTTTTTCAACTACTCAAATTCTAAAGAAAAAGAAAAAAATCAGAGCGAAGGACGAAAAAATCACAACCACACACACACACACACACACACTTCTCCTAAAAAATCACTCAGTTTGACCATTCATATTATGTTTCGTCGACTACCTGCCGTTTCGAACATGCAAATATCCTTGACTTCACTGTCCGAAAATGAAAACAATTTTGTTTTCGTCTTCATTCCCCTTCATTTCTTCGAAACTCTGTCTGACCATTCAAAACCCATTCGTTGTGCATATACCGAAAAAGAAACCATTTCTCAATTGTGGCCATTTGAATTTTTATTTTTAGATTCTTCAAAATTATGCGACATTTCATTGTGCGAGAATTCGCTTCGCTGTAATATGACACGAAAAATCGATACACATTGATAAGATAGGGAAAAAAAACAACACTCGAGTACATCGTGGAGAAAGACTTCATGACCGTTCGCAAAACGGTTGCGACAATTGGATAGAGAACGACAGCGAAGGAAAGAAGGCGAACGAACAACAGAGAGAGAGAGAGAATTGGTAGTATAACACGGTAAACACAATGAATCCAGTGAATCCAGCTGATTGTGGTATGGTTTGGTTGAATCAATATGCGCAAGCACAGGAGCATAGTATGATCATTGACGAAAGTACAACAATTTATCCGTCTATGGGAATGTCCGTAATGGATGATATTGGCCTCCAAGCAAATACAATGGTAAGCAATTTTAAAAGCGAAAACAAACATGCTAATTCAATTTAAAAAAAAAATGTTTCGGCATTTACATGCATAAATAAGCACATCAAATCATTTCCTAACGCAATGGGTTCAGGTCTATTTTATTTTCTCTCATTCGTTTTCTACACATTACACAAATGAATTTGGTCAAATGAATAAAAAAAACTCATTTCATTTTTTAAAAACTGCATCTCTCACTAAACAACAACTCTTTATAGAAGCTCAGCTTTTAATCGCACACACTTTTGAATTTAGTTACGATTTTTGAATTTCTAAAAGTTGAAAATCATAATAAACTGTAAATACTATACATACATCAAACAAACTAAAAGCCACTTACTTTTCTTCATTAATCTAATTGTGGTATAAATTTTTGTTTTTGTTTTTTGTTTATTTTCATCTTGGTTGGTTTCACACTAATAAATTCAATTGCTAAACTGAAATGCTTTTGTCGCATTTGATTCGATTGAACTGATTTCCAAATGGTCAATAAAACTGGGCCACTGGTTCATTTTACATCGAATCAAATTGTGAATTGCATTCAATTTCAGCGCTGTAAAATAAAAAAAAATCTAAAATCATCTATGTCAATATTGATTTCTTAACCCTTTTTTACCATTTCATTCGTTCATGCACACTTTTATTTCCATTTATTCATTTACATTTGAAAGTGCAATTTTCCCAAATTCATTTCCGACTTATATCTCGGTCACACTACAAATAAAAACGAAAACGATTTGCGCGACAGCTGAAATTGCGAAACGTGTTCCGAAGAACCGAAATCAATAAATGATGTGAACGCTCTATTACTACAGCTCTCCCCCCCCCCACCTCCGTATATTGTAGTAGTTATGAAATTGAAAAAAAAAATATTGTTTATTAAAATGAAACATCGATAATACAACACAAGCTAACCCATATTCATGTTCCTTTTCTGCCGGTTTCTTCATCGGTGAATTCAATAATCGGTACAAAATATGCGCGATAAAACAATCAACGAACAAAAAAAAAAAATACAAAACACAGGATATGAATGCGCTTGGATATCGAGAATATGCGCCTGCAACGGCATCAAATGCGATGACATTTACACCGGAATTTTTTGGCGGTTTACCACGTACATTGGCTGGTTTAAATCAACAACATTATCATGATGAGACGCATCAAACGATTCTTGATCATTACGGAACGTTATCGGATCAATCAATAAAATGTCCGATAAATTTGTTGGCAACGACATCGGTGAATGTTGGTACCGGAACCGAATTGTATGAAGATGATGATGACGATGAGTCGGAAACCAGATTATCACTCAATCCAAATCAATTTGCCAATCAATTTGTAAATCAATTTACGACAAATGAAGACGAAAACAGTGTTGACAATGATTATGGCGAAGACGGTGTTGATGATGTTGATGAATACAATGGTGGCACCGATTCAAATAATAGCAATAGCGTTGGTTTTGGCACAACACATGGTGAAAATGTTGCACACAACGATTTACCGGGTGGCGCAGCATTCCGGCGAAAAAGTCGTTCAACACAAACGAGTCGCAAAATAAAACCAGTTAAACGACCTGGCTTAGTGCTAAAAACACCAATTGCATATCAGCCTTGCTTAGATCCTTCTGTAATTCCAATCCAAAAAGACGGCATGGGTACGTTTGTTTTGTTTTAATTTTTTTTTGTTCTGTTCTGTTCGTTTTTTTTTTATTCTTCATTTCTTTTGTTTCGACAAATCTTTTGTTTTAGGTTTATGACTTTGTTTTTACGATTGTTTTTAATTTTCATTTCCTTTTTTATTGCCTGAGCATATTTTCTCTCGCTCTCTTTCGTACTCTGTGCATATATGAGCTTTTCCGTTTTTTTTGTTTCTTTTTAATATATTCTATAGTATATATGCTTCTTCTTTTTTCCAGTTATTTTGTGTGCTTTTGATTGATTTGGTTTGGTTGGTTTGAATTCAATGTGTTTTGCCTGGTTTGTTGACTTTGATTTACTTTTTTTCTTCTTCTTTGAGTGCACACGTGCATGCACATGGGATTGATGCTCCTACGTGGGTTCGGTGTATGTGTGTTTTTTTAAATAATAATAATAATATTTTTTCCAATTTTTTTTTTCTCTCTTACTTTGTAAATGAAAGCACCGAACAACCATATATCCCATACATATGTATCCTTATGTAAATGTTTAAGCTGAATCAAGTTTTGTATGCTCTATTGTTCTTTCATTTGATTTGATTTTGCAAATGAATGCGTTCGATTTGGTTGAATGAATGAAAATCGAAAGAGCATATGCTATATACTAAATTTGTTGTATTTGTTTGTTAAACGTGTTAAATGACAAATATCGACGCGTGAAAATATGATTCAAAGAACGATAACGCAAATACTTTTTGGAACACATCTCAAAATTACACGAAATAAAAAAAAAAATCGAAATCAATTTCGGGATTTCGATACATTTGCGCGCATACTTGTACATACACACATACTTGAAATACATTTTAACCATTTAATCATTCTGTGTAAAAATTCATAAGTTTCAATCATTCACTTCTTTTAATCGATATTAATCCTTTTGATATAGAAAATTCATAATCATATCATAAAATGCTCAACACCACAAAACATGCACAATTTACAGAAAATACACACACATACACACAAATACATAACAATTACCAAAAAAAAAAAGAGCAAAAAACAAATAAATAAATGCAAGAACCTAGTTGAAAATTGTTTATCTGTAAGAAATGAATTATGATTGTCGTTGGTTGGCGTTTGAATATATACATATTATCATCTTTCTTTTGTAAATTGAAAGGATCTCATTTGTGTGTGCGTTAATGAAATGTGGTGTTTTCTTCTCTTTCTCTTTCATTCTATTGTTGTAGCGGTGTGTGAGCGTTGCGGTGCGATTGGCGTGAAACATTCATTTTATACAAAGGAACGTCGTTTTTGCAGCATGAATTGTGCCCGCGGTGACTTTGTTATGATGCAAATGCAAGCAAAGGAAATATTAAAACAAAGCGAAAACAAAAAACCACAATTAACGACCGATAAACAAAATACGATTGATGCAACACAAGTAAATGCATTAAATACAGCGATGAGTGAATTACGTGATATGTCAACGGGATCAAATAGCCCAATTGATATTGAAGCACATCTAAAAGGTAGCCAATGTAAAATACCAAATTATCGATTTAAATTGACATTAAATGGCAATGAAAATGATGAGAAAAACACAAATGGCAATGGTAATCATCCGTTGTACGATGGAATGAGTGTGGATGATTCAGGAAATGTTGTATACCGTGATATTATGTTCGAAGAAGAAATACCACAAATTCCAAAAGGTGCAAATTTACCATCGTTATGTCCACAAGATGAGAAAATTATAACCGTACGACGAAAACCATCGGAATTTTTGAATAGCTACGATTGGATACCACAATTAACGAATCCAAATTTTTTTGCCGCACCAGTTACCTGTTTCACACATGCGCCCGGCTATGATGTCTGGTCAATGGTGAATGTTGGCATGAAAGTTGAAGTTGAGAATACGGACTGTGATACACCCGAATTGAAGCAAGGCATGTCACCGCATTCATTTTGGGTTGCAACTGTACATCGATTATGCGGCTACAAAGCACTTTTACGATACGAAGGTTTCGATGAGGATAGTTCACATGATTTCTGGGTGAATTTATGCTCGTCCGAAGTGCATTCGGTTGGATGGTGTGCAGAACGTGGTAAACCATTGATACCACCGCGAACCATTGAAAATAAATACAGTTGGCGTAAATATTTGGAAGAGAATCTAACAAATGCGTTGACACTACCAACCACATTCTATAATAAAATCAATGAAAGTTCAAAATCACGTTTCCGTGTTGGCCTTCAACTAGAAGTAGTTAATAAAAATCGAATATCCGAAATGCGATTGGGCAAAGTGAATAAAATCATTGGCAAACGTTTGTTGGTCAAGTATTTTGATGCGCCCAAAGATGATGATGGATTTTGGGTGCATGAAGATTCACCACTTATTCATCCGGTTGGTTGGTCATTTTATGTGGGACACGAATTGAAAGCACCACAAGAATATTTACAACGATTACAAATTCAAGAAGAAACAAATACACAACATGAAGATGACGCACAAATGGATTTATTCAAAATGAATTTCTCATTCGAAAAATATTTGGAGGGAAAAACGAGCAAATTTCGTGACGGCATGAAATTGGAGGCAGTTGATCCATTGAATCTATCATCGATTTGTGTATCAACTGTGGTCAAGGTTCTTAAATTTGGTTACATGATGATTCGCATCGATTCTTATGATCCGGATGTACAAGGAAGCGATTTGTAAGTTTCAAAACAAAATACCATACTCTAAACATATGCGTCTAATTCGATGCTCTTTCATTTGTTTACTTTCAGATTTTGTTATCACGAAAAATCGGCATGCATTTTTCCAGCCGGTTTTTGTCAACGTAACGGCATTGAGCTAACACCACCGAAAGGATACGATAAGAAAACATTTTCATGGCAAACATATTTGATGGAAACCGGTAATATGGCAGCCGATGATTCTTTATTCTCATTGGAGGTGCCCGACCATGGTTTTAAAGAAGGAATGAAAATTGAATGTGCCGATTTAATGGATCCGCGACTTGTTTGTGTGGCAACAATTGTCCGAATTGTTGGTCGAGTGGTTCGTGTACACTTTGACGGGTGGGAAGATGAATTCGATCAGTGGTTGGATAGCGAAGGACCCGATATGTATCCAGTCGGTTGGTGTGTTATGGTTGGACACAAACTTGAAGCGCCCAAACCGCAAGTGGTTCAGAAAATTTCACCCAAGGCATCAAGCAATAAAGCGAGACGGAAACGTGGCAAATATAATGGTATGGCTAACAAATAAACTGTTTTTTTTTTTGCAGTACTTTAAAAAAAAATGATAATTTGATCTTTTTTTACAGTAAAAGGAAAAGGTGGTTCGGCTCCACGCAATGTAAAGAAAGAAATTGACACAATGTCAGACCGACAAAATGACTTCGATGACAGTCAGAATGGTGATTCATTAACAGCCAAAACAGAGACAACACAGCAAGATTTTGATGGCGAAGAGGACGACGATGATTTTAGCCATGATGGTTATAGTCATTCGATAAATTCGCTACAATCAGCGTCATTGCCACCAACGCCGGAACCAAGAAATGAAACACCAACACTCCACACCACCCGACCATCATCTAAGTCATCCACATTTAGCATAGCCTCACACAATAGCCCAGCCACATCATCACCGCCACCTGAACGAAAAGCGACCAGTTATATCAATGTAAATTCATTTTTCGACTTACTCTTTTCCATTTAAAAAAAAAAAATCGTAATTTTTTTTTCTTCTCCGCAGAATTCAACGGTGACATCGGGAAAGTATATTCCATGCCTGATATCCGGTTCAACAATGTCACAGTCAAATGCATCATCACAAAATGAATTCGCACCCGATTCATGGAATATATTCGATGTTGGTCAATTTTTACGTGTCAATGATTGTGCATTGCATTGTGAAATATTCAGTCAATATAAAATCGATGGTAAACGTTTGCTTGAAATATCCGACGATGAAATCTTTAATATGCTCAACAAGAAAGTGGGCCCAGCCCTTAAAGTTCAAGACTTAATAAAAAAACTACGAGATAAAATTGAAAAAATGAAACCATCAAGGCATTCAACTGGCAAAAGTGGTGTCAGCAAAAAATACTTATAGTGAACTATAAACATTGGGCTCAATGTTTTATTAAATATGTACAAAATTCGTCAAGTGTAACTTATATGATGAGATGTCCTTATGAAGTGGATCACCCGAAAACAGACTGCGAACTATGAATGCAACAAAAAAAAAACCCGAAAAAACTTAAATATTTTGAATGTGAGAGTGAGATATGTGTGTGAAAATTGAGAAAACTTTTTTAAATGTTGATTGAACACTCCAAATAAGAAACAATACAAAATGAATAATATATACACATTTTATCTAAATGAAAAAGTGCCATTCAGTGTTTGTTGTACGTACACTATGAACGAATTAAATGAACAAAAATAAAATTGAAAAATTTAATGACGAACCACATCGTTTCGATCGTGTGTCATATGCTTATGTGGAAATAAGTGCATAAATAACGAAAGTACGCTGTCAAATTTGAAGGATGCTCTTCACAATGGACAAAGACACCGATGAATCTACAATATACGCCTGCATCATAATTGATTGATCAAATCACACAAATCTACCAAATATTGTATGTAAATGAAACCGCTTTATTCCAGCAATAAGGATATATTATTGTTTATCACATTTCTACTAGGGACGATGATAATAAGAAGCAATAAGGTTAAATACACACACACACAAATGTAGAAAGAATTTTTTTTTAAAAATAACTGAAAATTTATCGCTTCAATAATACCAATTGAAAAAAAAATTGCAATTTGATAAATAAAAAAAATGTTCGTGTATTTTTGGTTGCTTTGATTTTTTTTAGATGTCAATTTAGACGTAAATACGATACAAATTATATTTTTGAAAAGAGTAATGTTTATCATTTCTATTCATTGTTCCATATTGATCTCTCTCTCCCTTGAAATTCACATGAGTCATTTCATTAGTCGTTTGTAACTTTGTATTTCTTCCAATCTATTGTATAATCCGTCAATTTTAATTAAAAATCAAATGAAAACAATTTATTTTGGTTTATTTAAATGTTCATTCTAAAGTGTGAACATTTCAAACAACATTCACTCAATTGAAAATATAAGAAAAAACCAATCAATATATTTGAAACTAACATAAAAACTAAACAAAAAATAAAGAAGTTAACTTGATCTTATGCAATGTTGTTAGAACAGAGAGAAATCCAAATATTTAAAATAGACTAATTGAAATAGAGCATTTAAATTCGAGCAGGTAGCTAAACGTGGCGTGGGGAGAGTTGAAATTCTTCAATCGAATCAAATCACGTCACTTTCATATTTCGAAATTATTTTTTAAGATTTTATTTAGAACCATTTTCATTTGAAATGTTGTTCGTGACCTTTGGAAACAGTTAACTATGATCCACACGTCATTTGTAAAACAACCACCTAAATGCTATAATTATTATTGAACAGAAAAAGAAGTAAACTTAAATTTGTATAGAAAATGTGGGACGTTTGAAATCAACATGAATTCGAAAAATGACCCATTGTTTTTTTTTCTTCTTGGAAATAATTTTATAAATAATATACATACGAAAGTAGTGGATAAATTTTTTTTTAATAATATAAACAAAAATTTAGCACTAAAATTGTAGAAAGAAAAACTTAGATGTTTAAGAAAGCATTGAAGAAAAACAAAACAATTGATAAGATTCTTAAATGAGAAAATACACGATTATATAATTTCATATAAAACAAATGTTTGCACATGTTATTTACTGCCCTTCAGAAATACAGTTTTTTTCGTACTGACTACAATTCGACTTTGGACCATGGAATCAATTGCATGTCATTAAAAGTGAAGAAAATTAGCTATTTTTAGATGAATGATGTCTGTGTCTTATCCATTCAAAAACCAACAACAATAGTAAAAAATGCGGTATCTCGACCAATGGTAATTCATCGTGTATTGCACTTGAGACTTGGGAAGAATACGCTGCGCTCGTGACTGCAATCGTATTGGTGTACAACCGCCACTCTTATCAACCGCAAGTGAAAAATTATGACATGTTTCGCGCGCACAAAAACACTCTTCTTCATCACATTCATAATTTTAAATAGAAAAATGATATCTCAACCAGAGTCTATTTAAAATGTGAACAATGAAATACATATATCTCTATTTTTTCTTATATCGACCAATAATGAATGACATTAAAAAACAGCTGTACAAACACCAATTTGAGCAATGGATGTTTCTTTGTTGTATTTTATCTTGTATGGGTTTTGATCGATTCGATTTTGTGTATTGGATTGGTATGATAAAATGTATATATAGGTTTGCGTTTCAAGTGAAACAAAATTACAATGTGTACAATAAAAAAAAAAGTGTTCAAATAGAATTTTCGATGCTGGTGTATGTCATTCAATTTTACCGGTCGGTGTTTTTAGGTGCGTTCGAATGCGTCTGTTATCAACTTGCTTGGGCGATGCGAGAGTAAAGCGAACCAAAGAGAGAGAGAGTGTGTGTAGTTAACATATCGTCAGTGGAAGCGTTCATATTTGTGACTCTCAACGTTAGAGCCGTTGCCGTCGTCGGTGCACTGTGTGGTTGATTCAAGTATTGTTAGGCACGCTCTGCTCCACTCCGTCGACGTCCGCGACACAATCGTCTGTTTCGATTCGGCTAGCCTATGCAACTACTCTACTCGAGTGGAGCGCGCGCGCTAGTCTATACTAGAAAGAGACAGAACAGACACGATGTGGATTTGCGCGCTCAATGCATATATGTACTATTTCACACAGGAAAACCATGACATAATGACGCTTTTTTTCGGTACGCTCGTTGTCGATGCACGTTCATTTCCAGTAAGATTCCAATTATATGCATGCTCTTTGTTATTTGTTGTTGATTTTTTTTACTTTCGCGCTCGTTTCCTATGCCATTCGACCGTCGGCACGGAAGCTCATGTCGATTGAAGCAATGAACCGCACAAAACACATGAAATTTGCAAATAGTTCTTGAATGAATTTAGTTTTTTTTTTTGTTTTCCATTTCTTTTACAATGAGTTTTTGTTTATTTGAAAAGAATTGCTTAAAATTTAGAATTTTGAATAATAAATTTTTGCAAATGGAATTTTTTCGTTCATACGTTTGCATATTGCATTTTAATTGCCAAAAATAAGATTGAAAAAAAAAGGAAAAGAAAAATAATAATATCACGCGCTAAATTTCCGATTCATATTTCCATTGAATTAATTCATTCGGTTTCATATATTTTATCCGCATTCAATTAAAAATGCTTGAACGAAGAGCAAATAATAAAAACAGCGAAAAAAATGATTTTTTTTTTTGTTGAAATGAAATACTGGTTTAGTTTATATTGCCGTGCTGCAAAAATGAATATACAAATGCAAATACTTGGAAATTCCCATTCCGCATGCGAGAGAATGTGTTGGAACTTTATGTTGTATGTGCCGATTTCATATCGTGTATGCCAGTCGAAATGGATAGAAAATTTTTGAGAAAGAAAAACGAGAAACACATACACACACATGTCGAGAGCAAAGAGAAGAAAAAAGTGGGCAGGAAAAAATGGCATAGAGTGAAAAGAGAATGAATTGAACAATAAGAATAGTCTGTGTGAGAAATGTGAGTTGCCTTGTGAAAGGTCTACCACATGCAATCGAAAATGATTCGAAGACACTCACTAACCATAAGTGAAATGAGAACAGAGGCGATAGGAGTGAAGAACGTAAGTAGAAAAGAATGAAAAAGAGTTGGCAAACGCATTGCGAGGCAACGATACACATGTGCAAAACAGCGGCAAAAATGTAGACATGAGGCAACGAGATCAGAGCAAAAAAAAACACACACACACACATACAGCCACACGAAGAACGGATGAAAACCTTTTTCTTCTTATTGCGTTCTATGTTGAGCAATGAGACCAATTCAAAGACAGAATGAGCGAGCGAGATACATGCTCAGCATTAACCGCATAATCTTGAATCAAGCAAAATCAAGCAACGAATATGAGTATAAGAAAGAACGGAAAGACGAGTAAAATGAAGAATGAAAAAGAAGAAGAATCAAATTCATTCGGCATCCCTGTTCGTACCGCGTGCTTTGTGCACATCGTAAAAACCGAACAATAAACTGAATATTTCAAAAACTGAATTTGTGCATATAATGCATCATACTACAATATTTACCATCAAGCTGTTTACGAGCGTGTACTCTCCACTACACTAAAATACACATTCATGCGCCGCCGCTCGTACATATTTTTCTGGTATATATGCTGCCATAACCAAAAGAGAAAGAGAAAGAGATGAAAAATATGAAGAAAAAACGTAATGAAGAGAAGATGAATAAAAAACGTACACACATCATGGTAAGCGAGTAAGAGTGAGAGAAAGAAAGAGAAGCCGTCGTTGTCGTCGTAGTTAACAACAACAACAATTCAACGGCAAAGAGTTCGTTTGCATCAACAACTGCGACGACAACTGTAGGCGTGGTATCCAAATTCAGCTGGTTCGTACACATACACAAAGATTCAACATCCCGGGTCGCATAACTATATGTCTATACATGCTGCACCATATATAATATATATATCACAAATATGTATGCTACTATTTTATATCAAAACATTTTAGCGGTATCGAATAAAAAAAAAGTCAAAAGAATCGCATTGAACACTTTTCAAAAGTCATAATAAATGGTAATAAAAATGATGATAATTTGTCTTGATGATGAACCAAAAATATTGCACATTCCTTGAATAAAAAAAAGAAAACTGCAAATAAAATTGGTGTAGTCCAATGCCGCCAATGATAAAATGTATCCATATATATCGGTATATATATAAATATAAAATACAACGCGGTCTCTCGTGCGCCTGTGTACTTCTGACGATTTGTATGAAATTCCTAAGTTTCAAAATTTAAGCGCGCACCACCATTCACATAGAACTACTCGTTCCCGCTCGCTCATATGCTTCCGTTCATTCATTCATTCATACGCTGTCTCATTCTGTGCAATGAACGTGTATACACTAGCAGCAGCAGTAAAAAATTACGATTTGAAGAAGAAATAACAAAGTAGACACGATATTCATGCCGCATACTCATACCACTCAGCGTCATGTGTCTCGTAAGCAGCACCACACTAATATTGCTCGTATATATTCTTTTCGGCTGATTCTAGTTTCTTTTTCTAGAACATTTTTTTTTTCTCGTTCCGTTTTGTCGTAGTCATCGCAGTTGTTGAGTTGTTGCTATCGCCGCACCAATATCGAAGCGAACGAATGAACGAGCGCGAGCGCGTCTCACACACATCGGCACTGTCATCCACTAAAAAACAGATGTAGTTGTAGTAGCCTGATCGTATGCTTGTACGACATGGGCTCACACCAAAAATGCACCTCGCACTCTTCCTCTCTCGTATTTCATTTCCCATGCTCTCTCATAAAGTATTTTAAATACAGTGAAGAACCATGCTATACACCCATGCTTTGCCGATTTGCAAGCTGTACAGACAACAAATACACATGCACAAATACGCTCACGCACACAATCATTGAACGCATTGAATACAACCGACACCGAATATACAATTGTACAGAACAACAATAAGAGACATACTCATACACGCACCAACCAAATACATAGACAGTCAAAAAAAAGTACACATGTATGGTTCGTGTAAAATCGGCAATGTTCGGTTGAGCGCGTCATCTGTTTCGTGTGGTGACGAGACCTCAGCTGTTTCCCGCCATCCGCTACACATTCAGAGTATCGATGAAAGTCGTCAAGTAGTGTCGTGTGTGTACTTTTTAGCGAGATTCATTCTACCGCATTCCCAATATACAAGTCGAGAATACACTATACAGAGAGAATAAATAAAAAGGCTTTTCGGAGTACGAAGCAATTCGAAGAAACAGCAGTTACAATCAAAGGAATCAAAATACACAACCGAAAAGGAAAGACGAAAGATACAGAAGACAACTGAATAAAAAAATATAAGAATAAAGGAGAGTAGAGAAGATAAAAAGTTGAAAATTGTTTTTCGATTCACGCTGCGTGTGTAAGCAAAAGAAGCGACGAGTTTGATTATCAACAACAATTTTTTTTTCGGTGATTTCGAGTGAAGAAGAGAAAACACATTTATTTTTTCGTTTAATTTTATATTTTTTTATTTTTGATAATATAAAGTGCACATTGATTGTGTATGTTGTCTATATGTGAGAAATAAATGCAAAGAATTTAATTGAAGCGCCAACGAATAACCGACAAAAATAATAAAGAAAAATAAATCACAGACAAATCATTCTGATTATTATAAAATACGTTCAATTTTGTGGTGGATTAAGTAAAATCCGTATTTACACGGTTACGCTATATATATATACACGTTGTTATTCAGCCGATTTTAAAAACGTGTTGTGCATTGATGAAAATAAATGTTTTGACATTACATCGTTATAGGCTGCGTCCATTTGATAACAATATCGTTCTTCTTTAACTAAACGTTGGAACGTGAACAATATATATTTTTTTGTTTTTGACAAACCCATGCTATATTAAACGCATCGAATTGATAGAGTTGAAGTGTCAGTCAAAATTGAAAGTGTGAAAGAAAGAGAACGAAACAAAAATAAAAACAAAAACACAATCAACTGTAACATTGTTTATTTACATTGAATTGGTTATTCAATATTGTGGCACATTGAACGATAACGAAGAAATTTTAATTTTTCAAATTAAGTGGCAGTCGATTAAAAACGAAAATCATCAACACCAATCTGAATATAAAATAATATAATTGAATTACCGCCAAACGTTAATTTGAAACCAAAATAAATAATACACGAAGAAGAAAAAAAAAACCTGGAAAAATAACAAAACATTCACAAATAAATAAAATTGAACGCAGTGAACATTAAGTTACGAAATATTGAACAATCAATTATTTAAAAAAAAATTGCGCCAAAATTCTTGCAAATCATAAATAAATATTTAATGTCGCTACAAGTTAAATCAGCACATGGAATGAATAGACTTGGTTCAAATGTGAAATTCGACTTAGGAAAAGCCAATCAGAAATAAAGTGAATTGAATAAGAATAAAAAAAAAACGAAAAGTTACACGATTAAGACGACTCGCGAATACTATAAAACAATTAACGCATTTCTCAACGGTGCTCAAAGAAAATAAGTAATGTCCATTGTGGGTGCCATCGAAGAAGTGCTCCAACCCGAAGACTTTGATAGCGAAGATCAAGCAACAAGGTAAGTTGTGCAAAAAAAGTCATTTTTATCATCAATTTTGCGTTAAAAAAAATTACGATTCGCAAAATGTAATTGGTGTCGGGAGTGAATTTCACAAAAAAAAAAAACGAATTTACCGTGAATTACGAATTATTATTTAGTTTAGGGATAAAAGGCAAACATTTTCCATTAAATCAACTGACAATATTGTATACAGCTGAAGCAACTGAATGAATCCACATGAAAGCACATGGGAAAGTCATGCAAACTTATTAAGATGACGAAGAAACTCCAATTGAAAATCCAATTTTGCGTTTTTGGCGCCGCATTTTTTTTTCTTTCCTCGTTCCTGCCATCATCAAGTACACATAGTGTGCGTGTATTTTTGCTTGAAAACGTTCATTCGTTGAGGTCTTCTCCTCACGTATTACATTTATTCGGGAAAAACTCAGAACACATTTCAAGCCATACGGTCGATGGGTCGGCCATATGATCGTTATAAGTGCAAACGAGACATAGCTAAACGAAAACATGCTGCAATCGAAGGCAACAGCAGATATGAATAAAAGCCAGCGCATAGCCACGGTGTGTGTTATACACATATCGTAGAAAAAGAGAGACGAGCAAACGAACGAATTTTTTTTTCGTTGTTTTTCGAATGAAATGTGGAAGAGAAGAGAGAGGAAGAGTGAAAAAAAAAACGACGCACAAATATGCATACGTAGGCTCGATTGCTTGTGTTTCTCATACTGCCATTCCGAAGCAAAGCCTACTGACTCTCACTTCTGTTCTACAACGCGTGTAGTGTATGTGTTGTTGTTGTTTTTTTCGTCGGTTCCTACATGCACGCATTGCTCTGTCTCTCTCTCCACTTTATTTTATATTTCACATCGTACACACTGAAATATTATACATGGGCTCATGTAACTTGAATGCGTCGCTCTATGTCGTCGCATTAGCTCACAGCAGATGAGCGGTTCGTTTCAGTACTGAAACTAACTAACCAGCCAATCGACTGACGAAACGTACGTATAAGCAGCAAATAAGGCAAAGACGAAAAATGGTATTGTGTATACATATGTATACCATACATGTCTGGTATATAATATAGACGCAACCGAAAATGTGGATAGAATCATATTGGGTTTGCTGCATACGATGGTGTGCGCCACAATAGAGAGCTGCAAAACGATACACAGACACACGATTACTATTACATTATGACGATGAAAATTGAAGAAGAAAAAAAAATCGTATATTCTACCGAACAAACAACAGAAATAAAACCGAAAAGAAAAACCGAGGAAGAAAAACAACAACAAGAACCATACGACCGAATCGACAAACACACAACGTATTCAAAATTGAACGACACAACTGTTTCTCTGGATGAGTGATGAACGTGCGGCTAGAACATATGAGAACCAAATATAAATAACAAAAAAAAAAAAAAGAAAAAAGAGTGTATATCGTATTGAGTTGGAAATACGCTCGGCTCGCACTGTTACCGAGCGCCGAACCAATCAATAAATTCTACCGCGTAATAAACAACAGACACACATTTTTGTGTGTGCCTTACACATTTTGCATTTGGAAAGTACACGACGATTTTTGCTGATTGTGTTTCACAATGAACACACATTTTTTTTTCGTTTTTTCGTTCGTCTATTTGTTTTTCCATTCGACAGTTCGAAAAATTTAGAGCGCGTATTCAAAAAGCCTGCGTTCGATGCATTGTTTCCTCATCGCAAAAATGTACCCCAAAGCGCTTTTTTTTACTTTATTTGCATATTTCATTTCTATATGCCATCATCAGTCGTCACCATTGTTCACATTCAGCTTTGTCTGCCGCTTTATGTTTGCTTGATTTTTTCTCCCTTGTTTGTTAAATTTCGTTGTGTGTTTGTGCATTTCATCAAATTGTGAAATTTTCGGTGTTTAAGCGCCAATCCAGTGGAGGAAAATCGAGCGCGCAAACTGATATTGTTATGAAATCATTCTTATTTGTTATTTGACGTGTCTGCCGTGGATTGCGTCGCCACGATGCAAACATACAGAGAAATACACACACACACACATGCTTACGCCAAATCGCTTACATAGAGTTTTTTCCATTCTCGTCTTTCTGATTGCGAAAAGAAATAATCAGTACACATGATTCATGCATAGGTCGCGGGCAAACAAAACGCACCGCTAACGTAAACATGCGTTGTTTATACACTAACTCTCATAGTTTCTATTTTCGATTTAAATATATATAGAGAGTGATCTTTGTTGCTCCCTTTGGCGTTTCATTCGTTTGTATCAGGTTCATTTCGATTTCCAAGCTATTTGTTTACAAACAGAGCCCAAAGTATGTATAAATATCATATGTGGCTGTGAATGTTTTAATGGAACATATACAGATTTCTAGAATGCGATTCAAATATTCAAAATAAACCGAAACGAAATCGATATTTTATTCGAATCATCAAATCGAATTTGTGCTTGTGACTCATTTTCAATAACATTTCAATAAAGCCGATGGTATTTTGGATTAAATTTCAAATGAAAAATTCCTTTTATGTTAATTAATATCGCCGTCCATGAAACCAAATCTATTTAGAAATGCAAAACTGGACAATTTAATCGACCATCGAAGTTTTGGCGCATTTCAATCCATTCCGAATGTGTCGTCTGACACAACACCGAAAAAAAAAAGAGTCAAAATGTTAACCGTATAAATTTCGACGCAATATACTTGTCTTATTGCCATATATTAACACACAAAAGATTAAATAATAATAAAAACAACATGTTAAATGCACTCTCAGTCTCGCTCTCACTCTCTCAGCTGTTATTGTGTATGCGCGCGTATTCTTTTGGTTGTTTTGATGTGTTTTGTCGACGATATTGCGTTTCGTCTGCATTACCGATATTACTCGTTTATTTTTTTTACTCTTTATTTGTATGTGTGTGTGTGTGGTATTGCGTCGTTCGTCCAAACAGTGAGAATCTCACTCAATCAGTCTGTTCGCATGAAATCCGGGAATGCGTCTACTGTGTGTGTACAGCCATGAGAGCTCTCTCATCATCATCATCGTCGACGACGACGACGACGTGCTGCTGCTTTTCTGGCCGTATTGCTGCAACCAGTGGGAAAACATTCGTTCTCATTCGAACAATACGAATGGCAAAAATGCATTTAACGTGGTGAATGAACGAGAGACAAAGGGCTCTTCTACTATATACATATTTTTTTACCTCTACGCATTGCATTCGATGGTGTGTAGTACAACTGATCTGGTTGTACGAATACAAATTGAAATATTTAAAAACCAACCTGAAAATGGGTTTTCCATTGGCAAAACGATTTCTACCGCTATATTGCCGCTACGTTTGCTATTTGAGTGTGGTTCTCTCTCTCTCTCTATGTGTGTTTTTTTCTCAGCCATATATTAAGAGTCGATTTCTGAGCTCATTTGTCATTTGGTGTGCATTGCATTTTATGTATGTGTGTTTTCCACATCATTTGCATCGCTCTTGAATGAGCTTGCATAGTTGTGCATGAATTCGAAATTTGAAGGCAAATTTGTCTACATATTGCCATTGACACATGAATCTATATGGCTTAAATGCGATTTGAAACGCTTTGATTTCCATCCATTAATTCGGTAATTTGTTTTAGTTCCTTCAATAAATTTTTTTATGTCTCGACACTGATAAAAATTGAAGGAACATTTATTTCCTTGTGGTTACTATTTTTTTTTTCGTTGGTCGGAATTGATAAATTGATATATTATAATAACGTATTCTATCTAAATTGCCATTTGAATTGCAACAGCATAATGAAATACGGGATAAAAAGTCATGTGCTCGTTTATGTTACAATTTTCTATGTGTTTTTTTTCTTCTTCACCGCCAAGCACGAACACACAAAATCCACTCTTCGAATTCATTGCATCGAATCGGTTTTTATTGTGTGCTTTGGTTGCTTCGGTTCATTTTTCCATTTGTGCAATCATTAGTGTGATTAAATTACAAACGTTCGAAGACCAAAGAATAAAGAAGAGAAAAAAAACCAACAACAAAACAGAAGAAACAATTGTTGTTGCAATTTGTTTGGTTTCACCATCGGTTTCTGCTGACGGTTCCCCTTGAAATAGCATAAAAAACACACACACATATACAAATGCGAAACGAAACATCCAATATAATTCCAAACCAATAGAATAATGTGCATAAAAAAATGAAGAATTCTCTAGAAGAAGAAGAGAAAAAAACGCGCTCACAACACACAAATTTACACATAAAGTGAGAGCAAAAGCGCGGCCGCATACAAAACAGTAAATGACAAAGAAAATGTACGTGGTGTCGACGACAACAACGGTGATCAATGGAAAATAAACAGAAGTCAGTGGAAAAGTATTGAATTAGTTAGAATTTGATACGATGACAAATTGCATGTCATTAATAAAGCACATGATGAATAGCGTGGCGTCTGTCTTTGCACATAAAAGTGCACTTTGGGTTCGGTTGCTTTTTTTATGTTCTTCATTCGTTTTCGTTACTTTCTCATTTCATTTAATACTAGATAAAGTGTCATTCGCCTCATTTTTAACTAGAATACCAAATGTTTACTTAAGCCATAGCGCAGAGGTTTATGAGCCAACAAGAACGGCAACAATAACAATGCCATCGAATTGTTTGGAATTAATGTGACGGCAGTAAAATCCGTCGAAACATTTTGTGTGATATTAAAAACGGGACCAAAATCCTAAGACAGACGAGAGACGGGGAAAAAAAGGAGGCCTCGTCAAAACCTTTTGCCAGCATCATAACTTAAATCAACAGAACAATTAATATGACACGGTTCCAGTTGTAGTTGTATGTATGGGTGTGTATTTTCATCACCAATTCTGATTGCTTCGACGGTCTATTTTAACACCCAGTCAATGGTTTGGTGCTATCTGTCTCTCGGCTGTTTGTACAATCGATTAACGCTTTATCCGCTCCAGAATTTTTCCTAGTTTTTTTTTTCT